CAGCTCGTGGAGGCGTTTACATGGCTCCAGCCTCCAGCTCGCTATGCGCTCTCCCTTCTGAGCACGTTATCACAGGGCCCCACATAAAGTAACATGTGGCTGGTGTTCATTACCCCCTTTTCCTTTTATTTCTCTGTTCTCTCCCACACGTCCACGCGTAACTTGGGTCCACTAATATTTAGGTCCAGTTACCTCAATTTTATTCATTAGTTAAAGGTCATATGTGGGTCTATAACATTTTTCAAATAAAAATGTGCCCCAGAAGAGAAGGCAGTGGAAAGCTGGTAGCTAGCAAGACAAAACAAGCAATGCTAATAATAATAAAGTGAACAGTAACACTGACTTTATTGAGTGTTTACTATGTTGCATTATACATCTTATAAGTTTTGTGTCATAGATTTTTATCAGTTAAGTTTGGCCTCTAGTGAAGACACCTGTTCATAGCAGCCTAAAATACAGAGGCTTATTTTCCCACAGAGGAGAAATGTGAGACTAGCTGGTATGAAACACTAGAAAATCACTGGAGACCCAGACTCCTGTTTCTCTGCTCCACCACACTTAGCCCGATATTTCCATCCTCGAAATCACCTCGTGGTCCAATGAGGCTGCTGGGGCTCCAGCCAACACATCCAAGCAGCAGGAAGAAGTTGCATGGAAAGAGCCACAAAAGGCTCTGGGAAGCCCTACCCAGAGACCTGTTTTCATCCCATTGGCCACCCTACCTGCACGGGAGATTTGGGACAGTGGCTTTTTAACTGGGCCTATCGCAAGATGTTGTTTCTAAGGAAGAACGGGAGAAGAGGTGTAGAGCAGGCAGCCACAGTTTTACGGAGAGGGAGACAGGATCCTCTTACTGGGCAAAAGTCACAAACCAGAGAATGGCAAAGCTGGGGTTTGAAACAGGGCTTCCTGACTCCAGAGTGTGGGTCCTTAACCATGACATTGTTCTCCCTTAGGGAAGTAGGAATTTTGAATGTGGAGACAGCGGGCAGAGATTAATAAACCCTTTCCTTCCATTCACTTTGAATATTTTGGCCTCGGATATTAACGAAATGGCAGCAGGGATGCCCCACTCCGAGCCCGGCCCTATGGCTTTGGGCGGTTCTCTCTGGGCTGAGAGAGGCCGGCCCTCTCCCTGACAGCCCGTCTGCCCTACCAGGGAGAAGGCCCAGGAACTGTCGGACTGGATCCACCAGCTCGAGTCCGAGAAGTTTGACCTGATGGAGAAGCTGAAGCAGCAGAAGTATGAGGTGAGACCCATCTCCCAGGGAGGACGGCGGCGCAGGGCAGGGGCGGGCGGGCGCGTCCCCGTGGCTATCCTCCCAGCATCTCCCTCTTTCCCGCGCAGATCAACGTGCTGTACAACCGCATCAGCCACGCCCAGAAGTTGTAAGTGTGCCTCCTCTGACTCTGGGGTTTGTCGCTCCTTCCCTGTGGCTCCCCTCACCCCTCCACACCATGCAGTGCCCAGGACAGCCTCTGCCCCGAATGTCAACAGGCTGAGAACCCCGCGTCACTTCTGTTTCTTGCTCTGCCTCTCCCTGCTCCCTTTCTCCTGCTCGCTGTTCATCTATCCCTGTCTCCCACTTTGCGTCTCTTTCACCCCAGCCTTGGCCCCTCTTCCATGCTACCCACTCTCCGTCACCCATCCCTCCCTTCCCCCCAGCCCGTCCTAAACATCCATCAGCTCCCACGGGAACACCCTGAGCTCACCTCCCAACATCAGCTCCCGCAGATGGGTGGGAGCTGGCCCCAGACCATCAACCACACCACCCCAGCCAGTCAACAGAGGACGCGTTTGCCTGCCCCTTCCTCTGGGCAGGGAGAGCGGGAATTTGGTGTGTGTGGGGGGCAGACTTCTGAATTGAGGGCAGGTCCCATCTCAGAGGTTGGGGGAGCCCTTCCTTCCTGACACCCTCTCCCTCTTCTCCTACAGCCGGAAGGGGGCAGGGAAGGGCCGCGTTGGAGGACGCTGGAAGTGAGGACCTGGGGCTGTGCGTGCCCTGAGGTGTTGGAGTGTGGGTCCCCTCTGTGGTTGAAATAAACGCGCCCCCTGCAGACACCTGCTGAGTTCTCTGGCGGTCATTACTACTAGCCTACGGGCTTCATCTGACTTAGTGCCTGGAGAGCCCTAACAGTCACTGCGGTGGCAGGTAACGTTGAACCCTCCGCCGCAGGAAACGCAACACGGTGCGGCCACTTTGGAAACCAGTCTGGTAGTTCCTCAAAAAGCTAAGCGCGGAGTTACCGTAGGGCCCGGTAATTCCACTCCTGCGGATCTGCCTGCCACAAGTGAAAACATAGGTCAGTCCACACGCACGCTGGGCGCAGATGTTGGCAGCAGCATTACTCAAAGCAGCCAAAAGGTGGAAACAGTCCAAATGTCCACCAGCTGGCAGGTGGATACCAGGCGATGTTCCTCCGCCGTAAAAAGGGGCGAGGTCCTGACACGCGCTGTGATGTCCACGAATCTCGAAGAATCATGGGGCTCGCTGAACGAAGCCAGACACAGAAGGCCACAGATTATGTGATTTCATGTGTGCGAATTGTCCAGAGGGCAAATCCATGGAGGCAGGAAGGAGATCGGTGGCTTCCAGGGGCTGGGGAAGGGCAGGATGGGGGTGCTGAAAATGCTTGGAATTCCTAGTGATGGTGGCACGCACAACCTTGTGAATATAAAAAGCCATTCAACTGTACTCCCTTTTTTTAAAAAAAGATTTTATTTATTTGGGAGACAGCACAAGCAGGGGGAGCGGCAGGCAGAGGGAGAGGCAGACTCCCCGCTGAGCACGGAGCCCATCAGGGGGGCTGGAGCCCAGGACCCTGGGATCGTGACCTGAGCTGAGTGCAGCCGCATAACCAACTGAGCCATCCAGGCGCCCCCTGTACACTTTTTAAAAAAGATTTTATTTTTTTAAGTGATCTCTATGCCCGTCTTGGGGCTTGAACTCACAATCCTGATATCGAATTGCATGCTCTACTGAGAGAGGCTGCCACGCACCCCCTGAACTGTACACTTTAAACAGGCTTTTTTTTTTTTTCGGTGTGAATCAAATCTGAATTTTATTTATTTTTTTAAAAAATTTGTATTGTTATGTTCATCACCATACATCATTAGTTTTTGATGTAGTGTTCCATGATTCATTGTTTGTGCATAATACCCAGTGCTCCATGGAGAACGTGCCCTCCCCATCAAATCTGAATTTTAAAATGCAAACCAACCCAAACAAAACAATGTGTCAAGTGGCACACAGAGGAGGATCCACTCTCGGTGTCGAAGCAATGCCCATTTGCTGCTCTGCCTGCAGTTTTAAGGTTAAGCGTTGCAATTGCAGTGTTAGCACTGAGAGAAAATAGGCCTGGGAAGTGAAAAAAGGTTCACTATGGAAAAGCAAAGGGAAGAAGAGAGTTTTAACGAGTGGGATAAGAAAATGTCTGCATACAGCCTATTAGATACCTTACTTACACTCTGGACAACTCCAGGAGGCAGAGATTAGCCCCAGGCCCCGCAGCGAGGAAGTGGGCAGAAACAAAGTGTCAAACGCATGACTGCTTAAATCAGACCTGGAATTCTTCACCATTGCAGCAGAATAGAATTTTAAAATAGAGGCTAAAGTCTAAATTCTGCAGTGTAAAGATTGCTAATTGAGCTGACGGTGGGAACGCGTCTCACACTTTGTTGTGTGGGTTGAGCAGATACCCGAAATAAACAATTACAGTCACAAAAACATAGAGACATATTTACATGGACACTTACAGACGTAATAAACACGAGCCCCTATAAATAGCATACACCCGGGCACACACAGGATCGCAAGTACAGTTGTTATAAGGTGTCACAGTTGTGCACAGGCACTGAAACACACACAACCACACGTAACAACGAACGGATGACCTACTAATTGTCATTTAAGCTCTCTGGTAAAGGAGGCTGGGTGTGGACCTGTGTGGGAAACGTGGGGTTCAGGGACTACACATCCCAAGAACCACCGGGGCTCCCATTCCCTTTATATCTATGGCCAGCGTTCTCCAAGCCTCATGGGATTCGTAGTTTATTTCTTCCTACAGGCCCAGGGACTTGAGAGGGTAGGCTCCTCCAACAGCCCTTGGGAAAAAAGGGAAAAAAGGCTATTGCCTCTATCCAGACTTCAGCGCCTTTCTGGCTGTTTTTCCCGCTCTTTGATCCGATCTCAAACTGCCTGCATCTCCCCTAGCCAGGATTTAGGTGCAGGACACTTAAAGAGAGGATCATTTCATGCTTTAAAATGCTACGTGGAACGCCTCACCCAGGACTACAAATTCCAGCCTGGCTTGCGAGGATGTAGAGCCTGGACTACATTTCCCAGCGTGCTCCACGTCCCAGGGTGCGAGCGGGAGAAGTGCGGGCTCATGAAGGTTCTGGGGGCGCTGTCACTGTGGACCCCACCCCTTGAGCATCTTTACCGGTGTGATCTAGGGGGTTACCATGAGGGACTTCGGACTCCCCTTGCCCTTGGGCCTGGATTTTTTGGGTGCTTGGGGGTTCTGCCTAGTACCCACTGTGCCTCTAGGGGCGTGGCCCTGAGGACTACATTTCCCGGCGTGCATTGGGGCTGCGGGCCGAAGGCCGTGACCTCTGTCCACTTTGTCTCCCATCATGACTCGGGCGGTCACCCGGCGAAGCAGGGACTTGGATTGTCCTGAAGGATCTCTGGGCTGCGGGGCGCCCTGGTGTTTCCCGTGACCTCGGGCATCCATTGATTCATTTATTCATGCAAAAACTCATTTAGGTCGCGCCCTATTAGGCTCCATTCTGGGCGCTGGGAATAAGGAGTGCGCACAGAAGACAAACGTCCTTGTCCTCGGGCCGCGTATTTCTGGTTGAAGGGAGCAGACCAAAGAGCCCACAATAAAGAATGACATGGGAAAATGAGCGTTATAGCTGTCCCGACTCCCGGGTCCCGTGGAACCGAGCACTGCATTTCCCAGCGCGCCCCCACCCCAACCCTCCACCCGCCGCTTCAGAGCGGCTGACTTCCCAGTGTGCCTCGGGGCGGAGCGAGGCCAGTTGCCATTAGCAACTTCCGCTTGCGGACTCCATTTCCCAGCGCGCCCCGGGGCGGCGTACTGACGTCGGCGCGCCGGGCGGGGACAGACAGATCCTCGGGCGGCGCGGAGCCAGCGGCAGTTCCCGGCGGCCCCTGGCGGGCGGCGGCAGCGACGGGGGCGG